TTGACTTCTTCCTTCCCAATTTGTATCCCCTTGGTCTCCTTTTGTTGTCTTATTGCTCTAGCTAGAACTTTGAGTACTATGTTGAATAGATATGAAGAGAGTGGACAGCCTTGTCTTGTTCCTGATTTTAGTAGAATTGCCTTGAGTTTCTCTCCATTTAATTTGCTGTTGACTGTCATCTTGCTGTATACTGCTTTTATTATGTTTAGATATGTTCCTTGTGTCATTGATCTCTCCAAGATCTTTGTCATAAAAGGGTATTGGATTTTGTCAAATGCTTTTTCAACATTTAGTGAGATTATCATGTGGTTTCTTCCTTCAGTTTGTTTATATGGTGGATTACATCGACAGACTTTCGTATGTTGAAACACCCCTACATCTCTGGGATGACGCCACTTGATCATGGCGGATGATCTTTTTGATGTGCTCTTAGATTTCGTTTGCAAATATTTTATTGCTTATTTTTGAATCAATGTTCATGAGGATTATTGGTCTGTAATTCTAGGGATGCATGGATTTCCCTGGGAAAGGGAAATAGAAGAGGTCTCCTGGGTAACCTGGGGCTGGGGGAGCAGGAGGGATGAAAACATGAAGGATCAGGTTGGGTGGGTTGGGGGTGGGAAGAGTAATGAAAGAGACGTCTTGATGGGGGGTGTATTCTGGAGTTAGGGAGAAACCTGGTGCCAGGGAAACTCCCAGAAATCCACAAGGATGACCCCAGATAAGACTCCTAGCAATAGTGGAGAGAGTACCTGAATTGGCCATCTCTTGTAATCAGATTGGTGACTAACCTAATTGCCATCAGAGAGCCTTCATCCAGTAACTGATAGAAGCAGATGCAGAGACCCACAGCCAAACATTAGGTGGAGCTTGGAGAATCTCACAGAAGAGGAGAAAGGATTGTAGGAGCCAGAAGGGTCAGGAACACCATGAGTACACAGCCTACAGAAGCAACTAACCAGGGCTCACAGGGGCTCATGGAGACTAAAGCAACATCTACAGAACCTGCATGAGTCTGGCCTATGTCCACTGCACACATGCTGTGGTTGTGTGTGTAGCTTGGTGTTCTTGTGGCACTCCTAACACTGGGTGTGGGAGCTGTCTCTGACTCTTTTGCCTGCTCTTGGGACCCTTTTCTCCTACTGGGTTGCCTCACCCAGCCTTGATATGAGGGTTTGTGCCTAGTCTGGTTGTAACTTTTATGCAATGTTAGGTTGATACCACTGGAAGGCCTGTTCTTTTCTGAGGGGAAGCAGAGGAGTGGATCTGATGGGGTGGGGGATACTGGGAGGAGTGGGAGGAGAGAAAATTGTGGTCAGGGTATAATGTATAAGAGAAGAATTTTAAAAAGTTTGAAGAAATAGAAATACAAATCACAAGGGATAGTAACAGGACACACTTTTATATAAGTAACTTCAAAAATCTCATTCTTGTAGACCATCCATGAACAAAAATCAAGCAGCCTCTTCCACACAGCTGAGAGCTTACCCACCATCTGCATGTCTGGAATGTGAAGCATCAGGGACCTGATTAGTGCTGAAGGTTGAAACTATACAATAGCTTAGGAAATACTCCTGAAATCTCAAAATTATTCCTGTCATTATTTTCATGTGTTTAAAAAAGTGTAATGAGTGTAGAGTCTATAATCATAGATAAAAGTAAGATGAGTAAGAAATGGACATGTATGTATATGTGTGTGTGTATGAGAATGTGTGTCTGTGTGTATGTGTATGTGTGTGAATGTAAGAGAGCATGTGGTATGTGAGAGAGAGTTGTGTGGTGTGTGTGTGTATGTGAGTGTGTGTGTGTGTGTGTGTGTGTGAGAGAGAGAGAGAGAGAGAGAGAGAGAGAGAGAGAGAGAGAGAGAGGAACTGAGTAAATATATGGTCTGAGCCTCTAAGCTCAGAGTTGTTTCTTACACAGAAATAGATAACCAGTACAAACAAGGGCACAGGCAAGAGGACAGGAAAGTACAGCATTTTCTTTAGGAGGCCATTAGACATAGCACTTGGAACAGTAACAACTGAGATTGGATAAAGGCAGTAACTAGGAACAAAATAGTTAACGATTTTCTGGAATAAAAGGGAGAAATATGTACTCAGATCATGGGGAAACATGATTAGTACTCAAACAGACACACATCCACAGGAGGCACATCCTGCTGAAACCACAAAGCACCAGGTACCAAGGGGTAAAATTGATTAAAAAACAAAGACTCTCTTGAGAACATGATTTACAGCAGACTTCTCTTCAGCAACAAAGGAACAGAAGAAATGCAATAATGTCTTCAGAAGTCAGAGGAGAGACAGCTGTCTGCCTATAATTCTCCATTCAGAGAAACTGTCAATCGATGTGAAGGAAAGTGAAGACGGAAAGCTCACCATAGTTATGAGCCAAAGTAAGCACTTCAGGATCAGATCTGTCACATAAGAAAAAGGAGCTGAGGACTTGACCAGTGCTGACTGGGAGGAGATGGTGGGAGGGACGGAGTTGTGGTTCAGAGATGAGCAGGGAAGGATGAAGCAAAGCTCGTACACCTTAGTGATCCCTCCATTACACTACGGTTGAAGAAGCATCCCTGGAGACTATCGTTAAAGCTAGAGCAGTAACACCCACAATGGATCTGTAACTGAGCAGGACAGTTAGCTGACCCAACTCCTGAGTGTGGAAACCAAAAGGCCTGCTATGGTGAACCCACAGCAAATTATTTCAGCAAAAGCATACAGTCCCTTCAATCCAAGGGAAAGTGGAAGCTGGGAAAGATAGCATTAGATTAGGGGTGACTGCACCTTCTCCCTCCAGGTTTTATATTATAACTCAAAATGATTTTTCCGTTACTAGAAGCCAGAATTCTCACAGATACATGGGCCACAGGGAAAGAAGTAGGAAGAGAGCACAAGAGAATGATCACGAATACTGATTTCCTTGTCATTCCATCAGGAGTGTTCAACAGTCCTCTGCTGCATTTTGGGTAGGATTTAATGGGAGGCCCTTTTGGAAAGATGTGCGAGTTCCACCCATTAAGGTCAGCAGCAGCAGTGGACACAAATGTAAGACACAGGCACTCTTGAAAAAACCAGAAAGTGTGTACCCCAGGGTTTATCACAATGGTCCTTATTTTGTTTTCTGAAAATCTATGCCACTGGGGGCCTGTTCTCCCTGAGCAGGAGAGTCTCTGTGATATTTCTCATGGTGCTGAGAATGACAACTGAGGTCACCTGGAATGCAGTTGAAGGGACTCATGAGCTCCCCTAGTTTTCACTCTGCTTTCTTGCCTTTCTGTTCTCCGGTAGAAATCTTTGGGTGTCCAGCTCTTCTTGGTCCCTGCCTTCCATTCTACTGGTCAGGGATGAGTGACCCCCAGGACACAACCCAGATTCTGCCAGAAGGATGAGTTACAGCAGGTCGAAGATGACATTCTCAAACAATTTGTTGCTGGTTCATGAGCCAATGTTGTGGGTGCAGAGTAAAGTAAAATTGTAATCTCATTTTATTTCCTTTGGCAACCAAATGTGTAAATTTTTCCTAACTTCTTTTCATAGTGTTTTTGTAGGGCTTTTTTTTGGGGGGGGTTACTGTCAAGCAATAATTAATAATCTTATTTCTCTTAGCATACACAGTGTCTTTCAAAAATATATTTAATGATGTGTCTGCCTTCTTTAAGAATTCCAGTCACAACGTTTAATCTTTTATGGGCCCATAAAGAAGCATCACGCTTGTGAGCACCCTTCCTCTTGTGGGTGATTTCGCTAAAGCTCCCTATAAACAGACAAAGGAAATAGCACAGAGAGACAAAAAAGAAGGTACTAAGACCATTTAATGACTCGCAACAAAAACCTAATTATTTTGACATCTATATGGTAAATATTGGCCATTTTGATTTCTTTCCAGATGTTTAGAGAGGAAGCTGAAGTGAAGGCTTATACTACAGACCAAAAGTGACATTTGTCTTATTTTTTTTCAATTGTTGTGAAAAATAATCCTCCAAAAATAATGTGATGGTTTATTTGGGTTCACAGCTCAAGGATAGTGTCCTTGGCCAGAAAATCCTAGCATCAGCAACACCAGGCAGCTGGTCTTGTGACCTTCAATCAGGAGACTGGGTCTTCTAGATGTCTCCTTTTTATGTGATCAAGGACTTGAGCCCAGGAAAGGGTGCTGCCTTCCTTTAGAGTAGGCATTTCCACCTGAATAACAACCAAAATAATTCCTCACACACATGCTCACAGGCTAGCCTAACCTAAATAATACCTCACGGGCATGTCTGAAGAGACTTGTCTCCTAGGGGATTCCAAATCTTGTTAAGTTGACATTCAGCACTAACCTTCACATATGTGGGAGCCAACTGATCATCCTATTTTAGAATTTCTTTAACAGTGAAAACACTGCTGATATTAAACAACTAGGTTTGATTGAGGAAGACTTGTCACCCATTAGATGATTTTTTCCTTCTTGCTTTGGTCATGATATACATGCGGCTCCCCTCTTAAGTGTCAATCAGTAAGGAACAGAGAAGGTGAGGTAAAGAAATGGGGCATGCCATCTAGATTCAAGGCAGGAATCTCTATCTAGAAACTCTCAGGAAGCAACAAATGACAGGTGGAAAAAAACTGCTGCCGAATGCATGGTTCAAGCAAAGGCTAAGCCAAAAACAGAAACCAGAAAAACAGCGGGACAGTGACGGGCTTATTAAGATCGCATTGGATCTTCAGATAGGTTAAATTACGCCATCAGTTTCACATCATTAGTAACTATTGAGAGGACCAAGCAGACGCCATAGCAGGCTGTCAGTCTTCTCTCAGAGATCAGGCCCCAATTTCAGTTTCCTGAGACTTGAGCAGCAGTTTCTGGAAGGACTATGACAGTTCTTGCAGTAGGTCCCTTTCTGTGCGCACTCTGACTGTTCAAGGTTCAGCCAGTTGTTTACTGTCTGGGACCCCTCACCCACTTAGAGCTGTGTGCATCTGTCAATGTGAATGTGTGAGGCCAGCCAGCCTCCATGGCAGCTCAAGGACAGAGCCTGGGACTTGTCCAGGCCTGCCCAAAAATGATAACTGTAACCTCCAACCAGTAAATTCAAAGGTTATATACCCTCACCCAATCATATGATGCAAAGGCTTGTATCACTCTGCTTGTGGTTTTTCCCTTTAAAAACCCCTCACCCTGAGAGCTCAGGGCCATCCTCCTTCACCTGCTGTGTTGTTGAGTGTTGGATGCATACCAAGCCTGGTCCTAACTTGTTATCAATAAACTCCTATGTGTTTTGCATCGGCTCAGTGGTGGTCTTGCTTGGGGGTCTTGCAACGTGGCCACAACATTTGGGGGCTCGTCCTGCGACCCCCAGACTCTGATCCGAGGGATTCCTAACCAGCTGGTAAGTTTCTGTGTGTCTTTGTTTGTCCATGTCTTTGTGTGTCTCTATATGTCCATTTTCTGAGGCGCACTAAGATCTGTGGTGTGATCCAGTAACGGACAGTGCCTATGGCAGGCAGCCAGCTGACACATTGGTAAGCCGGGGTCACATGGGTCTCGGGAGACATTCCAGGGCCTGGAGGCAGGAATGTGGAAGCCTCTGAAGGGAATATGGAAGCCCCCGTGAATGTCTGATCGAGGACAGTGAGTCTCGAGTCTGGCTCGCCATCAGGCCATTATCATTCTTGGCGCTTTTTTGGTTGTCTCATTGAGGCAAGGTTTTCTTCGTGTGTCCTTGGTCTTGTGTGCAGGTAGCTCCTGCCAGGTGGGGCTGCTGTACTGTAAGAGGGGCTCACTAGCTGTGAGTGAGGCCGTCATCTCAGTGCTGATGTTCCGGCACTGGATTGTCTGTGTGAATGTTATTTGTTTCTGTCTTCTAGCCTCCCTCTTCTCCTGAAAGAGGAGAGAGAGGCACAGTGAGGGCCACCTCCCTCCCTCCATGCTCTCTTGCTATCAGGACTGCAGCCAGCCAGCCACTCTCATAGAGGGTGAGGGTGTGCGCTCTCAGTACAGGTGGGCAGAGATGGGAGCTATGGGCAGGGGGATGGGGACTGCCTGCAATTGACAAAAACTGTGTGAACACTGAACAGAGAATCTGACTTTAGTCAGAGAGTTAACAAAAACTTTTTTTCAGCAACACTGGCAGCCAAGGACACACTGTGTGCCCACTGCTCCTCCTCCCTTCCTTCCTAAGTCAAGTCCTTCAATGTGATAACTTCAAGGTCTCTTCTGCCGGCCAGCATTTCCCTTCTCTGTCCTGATATTGCTTGGAAAAAAAATGTTGAATTAACAGTCAAAAATACATGGGTTTTGGTCATTTTGAGTTAATGTGTTACAAGTACTTGCCATCATTTAAGAGAATTGGAGGCCGGGCAGTGGTGGCGCACGCCTTTAATCCCAGCACTCGGGAGGCAGAGGCAGGAGGATCTCTGTGAGTGGTAGGCGGATCTCTGTGAGTTCGAGGCCAGCCTGGTCTACAAAGCGAGTTCCAGGAAAGGCCCAAGGCAACACAGAGAAACCTTGTCTCATAAAACAAAAAACAACAACAAAAAAGAGAATTGGTTACAAATTATTGTTGGTTAAGATAAGGGAAAAAATTGTATCAAATTCCAAGTAAAAGATAGCTCAATGAATTAAACAGAAAAAAGTTGTTTTAGGATGTAATGTTTTTATAATAATATAAAGGCCTGAGATATGAGGATAAAAGTTTAAATAAATGATTTTCTGGTTTGAGGAAGCAGTTTAAATTTGAAGGCTTAAGCATGTTGTGAGGGTTTGAGTATGTGATATTTTGGGTCTATGGAAGTAGTTTGAAGTATAAAAATGTAGAACTTTAAAATTTAAGTAAGTTGTGAGATTTGAGTATAAGTAAAGTTTATGTGGGGTCTAAGATGTAGAGGTTTTAAGTATGGGAATATTAAAAATGTTTTGGGAATAAGGAAAATATGTAAAATTCAAGTTATTGGAATGTTATAAAAAGCAAGTTATGAAGGTCTGAAGATAAAAAGGCTTAAGCAATGATAAAAATAATTGACTTGAGGTTTATAAAAGAAAGAAACATGTTTCAGATTTCTTTTTCTTACTATTCTGCTGTTACATTGAGACTCCAAAGATTCATAGCTTTAAAAATGTCTGTCTACTCTGCAGATATTAATGAAAATGTGGCCATATGCATGCTTGGTTTTGAATGTCTGAGTTTGCATGTCCTCTGTGTTAAGGAATACAAGTTAATACTAGTCATCCAGGTATTCAGATACTAGTTTAAAGCAAAAACTGTTAACTCTTATTTAATTACAAGCTATTTAAATAAGAAAAAAAACAGAACCTGAGAGGTGCATTTGACTAATATCTACAGGATAACAAATTAGCATGGTTATTGTTACCAAACTTAGAGATGTTTTCAAGATTAGGTCTAGATTTGTTTGGCTCAGATATATTTAATAGATAATGATCCTCAAACCCATCAAAGATCTGGTGAATATGGTATTTAAATTATTTGATAAAAAGCTTACTATAACAAATAGAGACTCCCAGCTCCCCAGCTCCTAACAATGACTTGCAATGACTCCAAAGAAGATATGGAACAATGACAGGAAGGTGTCACCTGAATTGGTGATAACACCAACCACTGAGCAAGATGCCCCAGCTCAACACCTGCTGCCAGGGATCCGGCCCAGAATGGACAAATGAGACACTGACAAGATAAGGTCAGTCTTTCTCAAGTTGCTCCTCCACAGGGAAAATTTCACGTCATGGGCCCAGCAGCCAAGACTGATGCTGTCTTAACATCTGTCCTATCAATGTTATGAAGACTACAGGAGCCTGGGGTGATGGTGGTCTGGGCAATGGGTAGTCTCTGTTGTTTTTTAATAGATTTGGAAGTCTGCACTCAGGTATAATTTATCCTCACATCTCTGATGGCGTTGATGACTGGACTAGCTATGGCTTTGTCGGCTTAGCAACATCAGTCAGCCAGAGTCTTCCAAAAGGTTGCAGCCAATTATTAATTAATTGACCAATGAATTAATTAATTAAAGCTACTAAATCTCTTAGAGAGAGAGAGAACCAAGTTCTGAATATAGACTTACAGATGCTTTTCATCAGGCTAAAGACATCAGTCCAATCTATACCTGGCTCTCTAGATAGAAAACACAATATAGATTCCAATGCAAATTGATAATACTACAATTACTGAGACTATGGGTCTGAAAGTTGCAAATAAGTTCATGAATTTTAGCTCCTGATCCTAGTTTATATCTCTCAACAGGTTTCCACTTGGCTGACAGACACATCCAAGCATTGTTTCCTGGTGACAACCTACTCCAAATGACTGCAAGCCCTGAACTTGCTGAAAGCTGATATGGACCAATCCAGCCAATATAAATGCCATCTCTTCAGCTGATCAATAAGACATTCCCTCCTTGCTTTTGACTAACATTCCAGCTTTCCAGGGCCCTGACAATAATGTCCCAGTGTCAGCAGGAAGTAATTACAGAAGTGAAAACGTTGCCCTTGTCCCCCACCTGGAATGTTAGATCAAAAGGGAATTTCTTGTCATAGGGAACCTGAGATAAAATAATAACTCGTCCCCATTCTCATTTCTAATTTCCTTCAGGATAAGGAACTCTGTCACCCATCACAGTGTTTTGACCCTTCTGCTAATTACTGTTGGCTCTTATGTCATTGAACTAAACGGTGATTCCTGTCTGGGTACCACTGAACTGAGGATGCTAGAATCCCAATATTAGCACCTGTACCAAACCCATGACACACTTGCAAATGACAAAAACTAAATAAGGGGAGGCTCACCTTGCTATTGATAATGGGAAAACTCTTAAGTCCTAGTCTCTAAAATGATCTACTACCCTGGTGGTAAAGTCTTTTACCAAAAAGAAACATCTCCAAGATTGGAGATTATATACCACTCAAGGGGGCAATGAAAGGACCAAGCATACGCCATAACAGGCTGTCATTCTTCTCTCAGAGATCAGGACTCATTTTCAGTTTCCTGAGACTTGAGCGAGCAGTTTCTGGGAGGGCTATGACATAGTCCTTGCAGTAGCTCCGTTTCTGCACGTACTCTGACTGCTCAAGGTTCAGCCAGTTGTTTACTGTCTGGGACCCCTCACCCAACTTAGAGCTACGTGCATGGGTCAATGTGAATGTGTAAGGCCAGCCAGCCTCCATGGCAGCTCAAGGACAGAGCCTGGGCCACTGAGTCAGCCCCTACAGTCAGTATGTGCAAAGCCAGCCAGGCCTCCCAGGCAGCTTGTCCAGGCCTGCCCAAAAATGATAACTGTAATCCCCAACTAGTAAGTTCAAAGGTTACATACCCTTACCCAATCATGTGATGCCAAGGCTTGTACCACTCTGCTTGCGGTTTTTCCCTTTCAAAACCCCTCACCCAGACGGGCCCAGCGGCGGCAGCCGACAGGGATATTCAGACCCGGCGGCAGCTGGCAGAGACATTCAGGCCCAGCGGCGGCCCACAGAGGTAGACAGGCCCGGCGGCAGAGACAAGCAGA